CTTTAGGATTGACTGGTTTGACCTTCTAGCAGTCCAAGGGACTCCTAAGAGTCTTCTCCAGTCCCCTTGGCTAGGTTCACACAATCACTAAGCCAAAAGGTGGCTTGTGGTTTTGTGGCTTAGCATAATGTGCAAACTAGACAGTGTGGTTTGGGTACCATGATTTAGGATTCACATTTTGACCCAGGCAAGTCAGTGGTGGGTTATTTAATAAATCAAAGTAAACCACGGTTTAGAGTATCTATGAATGCAGTTTTCATAGAATTAATCTTTTGACAGTGGCTGAACTGGCTTACCAATGGATAGGGAAACTATGCAGAGTCTTCAAATGTAGTAACTACAGTCTTAACTGAATATAATCAACCTCTTCATATCAATAAAACTGGTGATGCTATCTTGTTTACAAGAATTAAACAGGGATCTCATACCTGTAGTATCTTCTAGTAACTAATAGCCGCCTCAAAATGTTCTTCATGAACTCAGACTTATCTGGAAAAGCAGCAACAGAATACAATATGAAAACCTGCACTGTGTGGATAATAACAAATGGAAAAATTCTGTAGCTGAGACAGGTTTTGCTAATATTTATAGCAAAGATACTGTGTTTCAAATTCTAGCCCTTACTGAATCCAATTTGGTCTAATTCTATTTCTATCAAGCAGGCTCTCAGTATAAATTATTTTGTGGTTACACTGTTCATATTAGGGCTAGGGTTACTTATTCACATTATACAATACTTATTTACAATAATGTATACATAAAAACTGCAATCTTAACTTTTATTGCTAAAATTGGAACCCAATCCTTCTTGTCCTAGTGTTGTATCTGTTTAAAGTAACAGTTTACAATCCAATATCCACTTCATAGAAGCCCAACAGACTCAGAACTTATTTCTTAGAAGGGATGTACTGTCAAGAATCTGGATCTGCCTATATTCAACCACAGTGCAATGTTCTGTGATACTGTACATATTTTAAATGTATACCTAGAAGAGCAACCTACTACTGTGAATTTGTATTGTGACTACACAACTGTTTCAAATATACAAGGCAGATGAGAGTAGTTTGTGAATCTCAGTTCCCAAGAATACTCAGGCACTCAGTAATTAAGCTTTAATTAGCTTATCATTGGGAAAATGTATTATCACCAAGTAGCAATAGCTAGTCCTTGCCCAATTTAAGCTTTAACTGAATTGGTATCTCCATTTTTAGAATTTCACCTTCTTTCGCTCCTACTGCTTAAGATGTTTTCCCCCTTCAGCCCCCTCTATACGCACCCTGCATACTTAACACTTTATACATCAGATGAAGTGCACTCTTATCCACAAATGTTTATGCTCTGGTAAATATGCTAATCTTTAATTTGTCAGCTATTTATTTTTGTAGCAACAGGCTAACGCAACTACCTTTTTCCCCCAATGCATTTTGTAGAGTCCAATAATGTGAGATATTCTATTAAATGAACTGATCCAACTGTTTAACTGCATGTCTATCCTATTTCCAGAGAGGTTCAGCCAAATGTTTTATTATAGATGTTATTTTCAAAAATATATATTTAATAAATCCCTAATTACTGCCATTCCCAAAAGATCCAGCAAGTTGTTCATGGTTGGATGTGTCAATGGAGTGATTTGATTTTATCAGTCCTGGTTATCCTTATCTGCTTAGGAAGAGCGTGGATAGTTAAGAGTAAGTTAAAATAAGCATCCTTCACTGCGAAGGAACTTCAGCCAATGTACAGCAAGTGCTCTCCGCCTTATATTAACATCGAGGCAGTGAAGAAAACTCCCATTCAAATAGGCTTCTGAGGCTGCTAATTTACAACTCCCCCATTTACAGAAAGGGTTTAAAGCAGGGTTTCTCAAGCTCAGCAACTTTAAGACGTGCGGACTTCAGCTCCCAGAATTCCCCCCGTCGGCACGCTGGGAGTTGGTCCACACGTCTTTGTCGAGTTCGAAAAACACTGGTTTCGAGGCTTGAGAGCAGCGACTAAATTCCACAGAAACCGGGATTTTCTCCCCAGCCTCGCGCTTCCATGCCGAGAGCCCTTTCGCGGAAGGGGGAATCGCCTCCCCTTCCTCCAACCATCTCCCTGGGCGGCTCCGAACCCACCAGCCTCTCTCCCAACCTTCCTTCCTTCCTTCCTCCTTCCCGCGCGTGCTGAGCCTCGCGACGCTCCCTCCGGCTTCCCCGAGCCGGTCCTGCCGCGAGTACCTGGCCGCCTCTGCCGACAACCGTTAACGCCGCTTCTCAACGGCCGTTCTTAAAACCCAAAGAAAGCAAGACCCGCCTCGCCGCCGGCACGCTCCTATTCGCTGCAAGGGCTCCGTTCCTTTCTTTCTTATTGGCTTGCCCAACCCTCCCCCGCCCCTCCGGCTTTTCTCCGCGTAGGTTATTGGACGGAGAAGGGCGTCGGAGAGCATCGCACCGACATCTCATTGGAAGGCGAGTGGGCTCTTGAAAGCGTCGTGATTGGTGGGCCTTCTTCGGGCAAGGCGCGAGGATAGCCCGCGAGGAAAAGGGGCGGGACGTGGGTGGGTTGAGGGCCACCCCCTTTGGCGTCACGTGGGTACGGAAAAGAAATGGCGGTCCAAAGTGGGGCTCCTCGCTCTCTTCTGCGAACGACTGTGCGGACTTTTTCCCACAGTCGAGCTGCAGCCGCTTCGGGGACCGCCGAGCAGTTGGCGGAGAAACTGCGGGCGCAGAAGAAGCTAAAACCGGCCGTGGAGGTGAGTCTGTTGGTTTGGCTGTGGGAATCATGGGGGGGGGGGTGATTTTTCTCGGCATGCACCACGGAGAAACTACATATCCCAGCGTGCTTTGGGGGATAGAACTCTTGGCAAACTAAGCGAATTGCGGGGGGGGGGGCTCCCGAACCATGTGCCGCTGCGGCGATGGAAGTTTTGTGATGTGCAAAATGCTAGAAGGCTTTGTTAATCAAGATGCAGGAGTAATGACGTGTGTTACCCTCCCTCTTCATTCTGAAGGACTCTTTTGTATAGATAGTTTATAGACACACTTTGACCAGAAAGTGATCTGATGTGGCTCTGGACAGATGTGACTATCCTTCCTATTCAGACTATTTCTTCTCTGCCCGCCATCCTGTAGCTTTCCAATCAGATAGTTTATATTTATATCACCCAGATAAGCAGAGATTAGCACCAAGATTATCACCAGACAAACGATCAAGCAGTAAACAATACCATGATGTATGGTTTGTTTTTTTGCTGAATTGTTCATTTTCATTGTACA